AATTATGCACTCTCCAATGCTAGTCCAGCATTCTCCGAATACTGCTCTGCACATGGTTTGGGAATTAAGTTCCCACTCTAGTTGGGAGGTTTAAAAAGGCTTTGGGGAAGAAGGCAACTATCCCCTTTTATATCAAACACGCTTCTTTGTTAGGCAAGCCACCAGAAGATAAACTCAGAGCAAACCCCGCTCTTTACCAGCTAGCACTGATGACGTTACCCAGTTTGGGTAAAGGAAAAGTCCGTAAGAAAACAGCCAAGCCTAGAGAGGACCAAAGATTTCAATGCCGAGCTTCAAAATATTCTCCTTTATTAGCAACCTACCTTCCATGTAAATCAGGCGCGGGCGAGTCAGAGGGGAACGGGCGCTGGCCGCCGCGCCGCCCGTGGAGGAAGGGCTCGATCCCTCGGAGGGTCCAACGAGGCGGGCAAAGGCGGGACTGCCATGGGGCTGCACCACCCTGGACGCACCTGGCTAGACAGCCGCCATTAGGCCCAGCCAGCAGCCCCGGCCTGCGGCGACTCCTTCTCCTCCTCCTCCCGCTCCCTCCCCGCCAAAGTCTCAGTCCCCGTGGGCGGCAATCGGGCTCCCTCCAGGGCCTAGTCCGCCTCCAGCCGCCTCCATCTTTTTCCCCGACGCAGAACACTCTCCGCTCTGGCGTCACCGGAAGCGGCCCTTCTAGCCCCGCGGAGACCATAGGATCCAGGAAGGCCTGTTCTGGTCTCCGACTCGATGGTGAGGAGGACTCTTGGCCATCTTTTTTAAAAAAAAAAAAAAATCGAGGATCACAGTCGCAAGGCCTTTCCTGGGTGCCTAAGTTCAAGGGGTTCTTCCGGCTGACCGTAGACTGTTACCAGTAGAATTATAAAAGAACGCGAACTTCTGGGATCGTTTTGCTTGTTCTCTTTCGCTCCCCCGCTTCCTTTTTGGGGTAGGGTAGGGCGGAATGTTAGGACGGAAGTGAGAGGATCTACAAGGAAGACTTCAACTCCCAGAATTCCTCAGCCAGCACATTCCAATCTTACATTCCGAACATTAGACGGCAGGGCGTTTAGGACTCTGTTTGTCAACATCGGCAACTTGCTTTAAGGGCTGTGGACTTCAAATGCAGAGTGCTCGCCAATGAGTGCACTGGCTGGGGAATTCTGACAGTTGAAGCCCGCAACTCCTAAAAGTTCCCAAGGTTGTAAAATAAAACACGCTGATTTATAAAATGCTGGTTCTTGACGTTTGCGGTTTTTACCATAGTTGTCTGCTGAAAGCCAGCACTGCGATTTATGCAATGCAACTGAGAAGAGAAACCGGGGCAAAAACCGTGTAGTTCACAAATCTTAAAGTTGGCAAATTTGGAGAGCCCTTCCTTTAGACAAGAGCCACTCCCTGCAGATGAGAAAGCGAAACTTATGCACTTGCTAAAGGAAGTGTGGAGGCACAAGTTCTGTGACACACGTGCATGCAAGAGAGCAGCACCCACCCTCATTTCAACCCTGAACTACAAATATTCTTCTTTATTGAGACTTCTTTTGCAACATTTTTACATCTGGTCGTGAACAAATATTTGGGTGGCAGTCAAACACGGGCACGGCTGATTTTCCCCTTCGGCAGCATTTTGCTTGTAAGTGCCAAATTTCCTGTTGTTTCCTCTCAACCTAGTGTGGCCATTGCACTAATTTTGCAATTAACCATGGCCTCTAATCGAGTGAAGAGTGGTGTGAATGTTGGTGAGAAGAGGGTTTTGAGTAAGATTGACATGAAAACGAAGAAAGAAATTATTGAAAAGCATCGGTGTGGTATGCGTGTTACCGATCTTGCTAAAGAGTACAATAAACCAAAGTCTACGATCTCGACTATTTTGAAGCAGAAGGCGGCTATTAAAGCAGCTAATGTTGCAAGGAGAGTGGCAATGCTAACCAAGCAGAGGCCTCAAGTGCTGGAAGAGATGGAAAAGCTGTTGCTGGTATGGTTGAACGAGAAGCAACTTGCAGGCTATACAGTAAGCGAGGCGGTCATACGTGAGAAAGCTAGGACGATACATGGTAATTTGTGTCAGAAATACCCTTCTTCGAGTGGAGAAAGTCATGAATTTAAAGCCAGTAGAGAATGGTTTGAAAGGTTTTGTAAGAAAAATGGTACTCATAATATTGTAAGGCATGGAGAGGCTGCTAGTTCTGACACTGCTGCTGCTGCTGCAGAAGCGTTCGCGAAAGATTTCGCTAAATTCGTGGAGGCTGAAGGATATGTCCCACAACAGGTATTTAACTGCGACCAGACGGGCTTGTTTTGGAAAAAGATGCCAAAGAGGACCTACATCACACAGGAGGAGATGGCTATGCCCGGCCACAAGCCAATGAAAGACAGATTGACCCTTCTGCTGTGTGCGAACGCAAGTGGCGATCTAAAAATTAAACCGCTAGTTGTCTACCAATATGAGAACCCTCGTGCATTTAAGCAGCACAATGTAAACAAGGCCAGACTGCCCGTGATGTGGAGAGCTAATACAAAGGGTCTGGTCACAAGGAGCTTGTTTTTGGAATGGC